CGCTCCGATAGAGCTTACACTGGTGAAAATCGAAGGGCGTTGTCCTCATACTGACCTTTCCTTTCACTTCTTTTGTACTAAATTCCGCCACAGTGATAAGCTAAGAGTACTATCACAAACATCGAACGTGAAGTGTTCTGTACCCGTTCGTTTGTATAATTTAATAGAGAGTTTTTTTCTTCATTTCTTTTTTAATTTCATTCTTTATTAATTTACCGCATTATATCGTTTCCCTTTTCAGGCAGATTGCATTGTTATTGTTGGCGTGGCAGACGGAAGCCCAGCAGTTGGTCAGGTATCAATTGAAGTATTTTCATTTCGTTTTTATCAGAAACTCTAGTTATGTTTTTAACAAATTTGTCAGTAATTGAGGACTTTTTCGTTTTCTCTTTACTACGCTTTCTCACTTGGACTTAAAAAAAAATCGCGGCCCTCACAAGGACCGCGGAGCAAGGTGTAAAGTGGGAGGGCTGACAATTGAAAATAGTATTTTCATATAGAAAATCGAAAAAAGGTATAAAATCATTGTAATTATTTTTCATTTTAGCGCAAAAAGTGGGGGCGGGGGCGCAAAAAACTGGTGGGGCCGCGGCCCTACCAGTCCCTCTCCCTCCGCGGCCCCTGCCTCAACCATACTCGGTCAAGATTTATTCAGTCCCGTTTTCCCGCGCTCCAGGCAGTCTTCTAAAGCGGTGTGGTTAAGAACAGGTCGGTCTTTAATCACGCTTAGGAGAATTTATATCCTGACAAAACATACATACCACACCAGTTTTGAGCGTACTTCCCTTCAGTGTCGTTAAACCTAAGGCCATTCCATCTCCATCAGTTACGTTTCCCCACGCTTCAATGCGGTCGAGAGTGAATGTTTTGAATTCCTGTTGGCTCGTCACGATAATGTCTTTGGTTCTGACGGGCTGTTTAGATTACTTTAGTTTTGGTTTCGGAACACTAAAAGTGCCCCATATTGTGGCGCAAGAAACAGTTTAAATGAATTAAACTCTTCAACACTATGAAATATATACTTAGATGAATATGTATGATTTCAACTGTACAATGTTAATGTTTAGACTAGATATAAAGGTCTGATGTATTAAAAATGTTTGTTTGGCAGAGTTGATCTTATTTCTGTATGACCTGATCATTCTGTGACATTTGCCTCCCTTTTTAGCTTGAAAAACAGCTGGAGAATATTGGTGTACGATCCCAAAAGGAGCTTATTCTGTTGCATCGTGAGGATGGCGCTAAAGGTTTCCGTATTTCACACACCGTGGATTGGTTGAACGCGCGCGGCTGGATCTGCGCTCATCATCATGTAAGACCACGTTTGATCAAGAGCAATTCATTTTGAAACTAGTGTAGGAAATAATTCGGGTTTGCTTTGGGTTGAACTTTCAACGCTTTTTGATTGGTCGTGAACTTTCGCATCACCCTCTCGACCAATCAGATGCGAAACTTGGACAAAGCAATTCTTGTTCCCTCCTTTTTTCCGCGCATCCGGGTGTTTGCTTCTTTCAACTTTGAGTTAACAGCGAGATTTCCTCTGTGCTGATTATCGGGTATGATGACTTTAATTGAGATTTTTCCAGCACCCAATACACTAGAATACATTAGTTCAAGTATATAGTCACTTTCTAACGAGATGTAGTGGTTCCACTACTCCTTGTTTATTGCTAGACCCGTATTCATTGCTTCCTTACTTATTTTTTCCAGGTTCGATGCGCTAAGAAAATCTTTGGACGACGCCCCTTGTCTGAAAAGGTAGGAAGGGTTCATAACTACCGTAATCCTCAATTTATTAGCGTGGCCTTTTAGATTGGATGGGTTGTTCATGTGTCATTTATTCATGTTCTCTTTATTTCGTTTCAGTACGCACAAAATCCTGCAGCGTACCCATTACCAGAATGGTGGGTGATGCTCTACCTTGATATTACTGTGCGAGCGCGTTTTAACCCACAATACAAAGTGATCACACCAAAGTGGGGTATTTGAAAATACCAAAAAGAGCCAATGCGCTCTCAGAGTTAACGCACGTGGCCGGAGTAAAGCGCGAGATAAAACATGTCATTAAGTTGCCATCGGTTTTAGTTTTGAATCTGATTGTTTGGGAAAATGGTGCGATATTAGAAAGATTTAGCAACGCGTGAACGGCAAGAGTGACCACGTGACCTTGTTTTTCCCGCTATTTTTTCGCATTTGCCGGTTGCGCTTTGCCGTTTCTACGTGAAAATAACCTGTTTGGCGTGTACGTAAGATTATCTTCACTTTTTCTCTCACAGAGGAGAAGTTAATAGCTGGAAAAAGGGCACCAAAAACTCTCCTTTGTAAGTCCTACAAGGGCGCTTTCAAATCCACTATGGCATGAGCTCACACGAAGCTTAAAGCAACAAGGTTCACACAATTTTTCGTGAAACGTGAAAGGGCAAGCTGACGTTTGCCGTTTCACGTAAACGCGGTGCTAAATCTCACTATTTCCATACCAATAACACAGCGTAGGATAGCAAAATCTACTCAATCCCCAGATACTTTCGACTCTCGATTGAAAAATGTTTTCTATAAACCTATCAGTTTTTTCTAAGATATCCTTACTACCCTCATCACAATTTAAGTTCGAGAAAAGAAATGGACGGCTGGTTTTTAATGTCCCCTAACTTGCAAACCCATGAAAAGATAAATTACCATTTCTACGAACAGCATGGGTAAGTTTCACTTCATTTTCCTTTCAGAAATTCTGATTTTTTACGATTCGCACGAAGACTAACAGGGACGTCCATTGAATATATTCTTGGAGGAGGCGGAGCCAGGTAAATACCGACAAATCTTTTCATGGGTGCTCATTACTTTTTTCCGAAGGATATCCCCATATCATATGAATGCTTTTACTTGGGTGATAACAGGAGTGCACGCGCTGTGATTGCATGAGGATGATGTCTTATTATCCTTCAAATATTTTGTAACGGGTGTGAAAAAGTGTTTACGAACAGCTTCCTGATTGCTGCGTGGGATCTTTTCTTTTGAGTGTTTTCTAGTACGACTTTATGAACAAACGACTATTTCCAATTTTTTGTAACAACCACAAGACGATCTCTCATCTTAAATTCAATTGTAAACAGAGAATAATCGTAGTGGACGAAAAGTTTGAAATTAAAGAATATTACGTGAGCGATATTTAGTAATTAAACCCCTTCGGGCGGCTGGTAGGTCGGCTGATAATGTCCGCGGCTGAGAGATTGTCCGAAAAATGAATATTTGGCCGAGAAGCGAAGCTTCGAGGGTAAATATGAAATTTTGAGGACAATCTCTCAGCCAAGGACATTATCAGCCGACATACCAGCAAGCCAGAACGGGTTTTTTCATTTTATTACCCTCCCATTAATTTTCACATCGCAATTAAACTGCGCGTAAACACAGTAAAAACCCAGTGGTGATCTGATGGCGAATACGCGTGATTGACGCAAGCAAGCAAAAATAAAAACCGAGTTTGGTTTCCTTCCATGTATATTAGAGAGTGGAAAAGTTGAAACTCTTGTGTTGACTATGTTTCTTTTTCACGGAAAAACGACAAATATCGGACGACAAATATCGACGCGGACGGGGATTATTGTGTGATAACTGTCCTGTCATTTTGCACCACGTGACGTAAAGGAAACAATAAAATCGCGCCAAAATTAGTGGGTTAAAACTACGGATAAAACCTTGTTTTAGCTGGGGAATATTCGGTCACGTGATGCGTTTAGACCAATCGCACGCGAGGTATAATGTTTTATGGATCATGACGTTCACTAGTTAGCTTACGCGAGGTTTTCATAACACTGGAGCATTACTCTTCGGAATGTTCATCGTGCAGGATTTTTAGATGTTTTCTGGGAAAATGTTAAGGAAAATGCATTCATGAAATGTTTCATGACACAAGGCAGCAATTAGTACCAAAGAAAATACTGTTAACGGGCCGCCTTTAGCGTTCAAAAGCACAGGTTGACTAAAGTTTTGTAGTTAATTATTTTAGAGAGTGGCACGAGGAGACTGCTGTTTTGTCTCCTTATAGAATATTGTTTCTAACTTAAGAATTTGTAATTTCATAGGGGATTCTCTTATGTTGGAGTCATCAAAGCCCTAGAGGAAGCAGGTTAAACCTTTCATCTACTTCATACGTTTTTCTTTACATGTGTATGGACTCTTAGACTAGTGAGCCGAATTAGAAAGGTAGCCAATTTTGAGCTCAGTTATGGAATAAAGAGGGAAGATGTTACTATGAGCGATCGAATCCCAGAGCTTCGTATTTCACTCTCCAGCATTTCACTTTTTCATTTTGCAGTAGTCTAAGACTTGAGTGCTCGAATGGCAATGAATGTCCCGTCACCAGTATTCGCAGTTTAGAAGCATTAGTGATGTATATTAGCAGACCTAAAGCTGCTTCAAGTTCCTTTTCGGCTTATGTTCTGGGACGCCCATACCCTCGATCTCGAACATTTGCAATACCCTACTCTTTCAATCGGAAATTGATCTCAAATATATCTCGATCATGTTTGCTTTTCTCGTAGGTATACCTATAGACATGGTAGGTGGCACCAGTATGGGATCCTTTGTTGGTGCAACGTACGCCGACACTGCTGATGTCAATAGAATGTGTCAAAAGGTCCGCGAGTGGTCAATAGTAAGAACTTGTAGGGCGAACTTGAGTGACACCACAGTAGACTCAGTATATTTTTAACGTTATTTTTTTGGAAATCTTTAGGTAACTTAGAGAACTTAGAGGTTTGGTATGGTGTGCTATCCTTCCATGCGTACTTTTGAATTGGTTTTCAGTCGTAACAGAACTAGAGCTATTCTTAGAAGGTCCTACCTTCACTAGTTCGTCGCATACCGTCTCCAGTCTCCAAAGCTCGTAACTCGGCCATACCTTAAGGGAGGAAAGCGTTACGAGTCTCAGTTGTTTGTCAACTGGACAATGTTACTCTCTTTAAACTTTTCAGGACATGACGGCCCTATTGAAGAAGATCCTGGATCTAACGTATCCATTCACCTCCATGTTTTCTGGTGAGATTTTTTCATGTGCAGTTCACTTTAATTGAAACTAAAAACAGACTAAGACTAATATCATATGACCATTTATTTATTTATTTATTTGTTCGTTTTAGATTTTTTATTGTTTTGTTGTAGTGGTTTTCCGTTTAACATTATTCTGATCGTACGAAGCTTTTTATCTTCCCCCCAAACGGAAAAACTTCTCTTGCACGGCATGGCTTGTTTTTTTTTATTGATACGGAACCATAGCAATAATGGCATGACCAGATTGTTCCGGAAAATAATGAGTAAAGAGATTAAATGTTGGCACCTCGTTCTAAACTTGTTAAACTTTTTATTAATAATGTTAACTTTAATCATCAGGATATATTTTAAGCATATCCAGTCAACCAGGATCACTAGTTTTGAACATTCTCTTTAAATCGTTTCCGAAGGTGTCAGAGCATAGTACTTTCACTAACTTGGCGGAGCATATATCCCGGATTGAACCACCCTACACTCACGAGTGGTTACCATTCTCCTCCTCGGATGAACTCAGTAGGATCCAGTTCCACACCTGGCCACCATATGTACTCGGCCTCTGAGGAAGACGACGAGTACGATGAAGAAGAAGAAAACCTTGTTCGTGTCAGGCCAAGAACAGGTTCTCTGTCAGAACACGAAGATTTAATGGCTCTTAAGGCGCAAGCTCAAGCTGTTGTTCGGCACAAAGAGGCTGGATACGATGTAAGTTTCGTAGCTGTGCTTTAAATATTTCATCATGTTGTGTACTGTAGATGTATTAGTTTCACGCGACAACTCGCAATTATTCACCTTGAACTCGATAAGATCCGTGTTCTTTGCCAGTAGATACTGCAATGCGTCAGTGTACAAATGGAAGCGACCGCTTGGCTCTGAGTGGTTTTACACTTTCATTTGACGTAATTGTTTGTCGTTTTTTTTTCAAGTTATGGTTTTGAAACACTCAAAATTACCTATACATAATCATGGTAAGGTTATAATAGTTCGACTAAATTTTTTTTAACTGTTTCTTTTTCTCAGTCGGACGACACTCATCTGAGAAGAAGACTGGGCTTGCATCATCAACCGAACAGTGAACCGTAAAGCCCCTGTATTTACTCTGAAGATGGTAGTCATGAAAACGCTAACGCAGTTCTCTTAAAGAAAGGGAAAGCACCTGGGATGTGTGCTGTATTTATATGACAAGTGTGTTGTGGGAATGAAATTCGAATTGTCTGTAGCGTGAGTCCGTTGAAAAATGTAACGCTTGTGATAGCAGTAACAAAGCTAACACGAGCGATAATGAGGTCGCGAAGATCCGCACGACCAATAATGGGGTCTCTTCCTTCAGTTAAATCACCAATAATCGATTATTGCAATCTGATTATTTACTGGTAAATCATTTATTAGATGGAGAAAGAATTGGTTAAAAGTAAATTCAAATCATGAACTATAAAATGACCTCTGTAAAGTGCATAAATTGTGTGAGGAAGATGAACCGTTGAAATGGAAAGCATAGCACTGAGGGTGGCAGAGATAATTGATCTCTTGAAGTTTCGGTGTGCTTGTGAACTCCAAATTAAGGAGATATGCGTTTAATTAATTTGGTCTCTTTTTACTCGAGGGAATTAAGCTCTTAACATTGGGAACTTGTGAGGTAATAATCAGGAGAAATAGGTAATCATGAGAAAAAACTTTTCAGTGTTTGCACAACAGTCATTGATTTATTTGATATTCAAATAATACCTTTTTCGGAAAATCACATGGCATTACCTCGAGAGAGTCTTCGTCGCAGCTGTTATATTTAAGTGATATGTTAAGTACAGTCAACCTTTAAAGTATCAGTAGAACGGAATAGAAATAGCCTTAACGATGTTACGTACAGCAAAAATACAGCCGTTCTCTCCAAAAGTGCTTTCTTTTTCTTTTTCCCTTTTTCTTCTTTTTTTTTTTTCATTTATCTTATGAAAGGCTTGTCTGTTGAAAATAGTCAGTAATGAGTTTATTCAGTAACGTACTCACTGACAGTTGAAACCTGACTCTTCATCAGTCGATCTCAGGACGTGGGTGCCGCAGTAGAGTGCTGAGTGAGGGGAAGGGGTCCTTGTCTCTTTACACTTTCACCTACCCGTCGCTGCCTGTCCTGGCCGTTTTCGTCGCAGAGACAATTCAAAGCGAGTTCGTGAAAAAAGTGCGCTGTTGACCGAACAATTGAAGCGACTCTCAATCAGCCTTTTGTAGTGTTGACAAGGCGGGGTTAATAGATCTGTCATCCTCAATCCCGCAAGTGAATCGACAAGTGTATTCAGTTAAATCTAGAAATGCCAACAGCTGTGAAAGACATTTCTAATTTCTGAGCTAAAGATTCAGAATACCGTTTCTGTTTCCTAGTTTTTTCATGCTCAATTCATATGTGAGAATCATGAATGCAAGAGTATGGAATTTTGCTGACTCATCTCCATGGAATTTGTAGCGCTATCAAAGACCAGTTTATTGCATATTAACACAAATGCCCTTTGAGATCAGTTTAATTTTTCTCATTCTTGCATGTATCTTTTACATTCACATGCAAAGAGAAGACAGATGCTGACTTATTTTAGTTCTAAATGCGGATCGCAAACGCTGTTCAAAATAAGTAGTGGGAATAGCATATTTGAATCCAATTGATAATTATTTACCAAAAAATACATTAACTAAAGCAGAAGTGGAAACTGCTGGACATAACTTGAAATGTAAAGATTGATATTTGTAATAAAGGACTTTGCTAAAATGTGGTTTGTTCTTTTGAGTTGGAGCCCATGGTTCAAATAACGGTATGAATGCAGTTATTTCCATTTGTTTCCATATGTATCAGTTTTGTTGTACATTATGTAAAACTGATGTTCCATTCGTAAGTATTCTCTAAGAAAAGGTGGTAATAGGTACAATGAGGTAACATGTGGCCACTCTATAGGCCAAATTCTTAGCGGTGGGTTTACGTCAGTTTCTTAAAGGTTTTCACCATGAAGTAAAATATTTGTAAGATGTTGCTAGACTCTTGCTCTTCTTGGTATCATTTTTGTACTGACAGCCAATCTCCAGCTCTTCCTCTGGTGTGCAGATTACTTCTCCCCACTTCCAAGGGAAGACAAAATAACACAGGAAATGTAGTAGATGCCACCATATTTTCAACGCGAACTGCTCGCAGTCACTCAATTTTTTCTCTATATTTTTCTCTGCTTCTGTGATGAGTACTGTACAGTGTTTCGGGATTGTTGCGCCGATTACGAGCAGTATTGCATTCAAGGCGTGCATTCCAGCTCATTAAGATCTCTAAACCATGACCTCTGGAAGTGTCATGATGTAGTTGGGTTTCTGGTACCTTTTACAAAAAGTGTGTGGATGATCTCAGCATGTCCTGCAAATTGGACCCATGACGAAATCGCTAGAAAGTGTACGAGAAATTTACCAGAAAAGTCCGAAGAATGTCAAACTTACTCTGCGCCTTTGATCGACGCGAAAAATAACACTTACAAGAATCGCTTTTGTGCAACTTGCCACGGCGTTGAAGTCAGCACAAGCCGATTCAGTATGAAACAAAGTCAGTTCAACTTGTTAGCGCTACCAAACTGAAGAACATTAGTAATTCGACATCTTTGGTCTTTAGATGTTCCATTGTAAGATGGAATCCACCTTTAGGGTTTCCCAGGCGTTATTGCCTCAACTTAAACGGAGACGAGTCAGTGCATGAATACCTCCGTAACACCAGAAGTGCAACGTGACTGCTCATCAAAATCACCGGGAATTGTCGTGGAAAAGCAAACAAATAAGCTGTATTTTAACAGAAACTGGGCCCAATGCGCTGGAGTTCCACGTGACGAGATTCTGTGTGGACCCATAAAACTCGAGAGTTCTCAAAAGCCGACCCAGCCTCCTTTCCTTCACCAGCATGACGTGCCTTTGAACATCTTGTTCAGCCCAGACACTCCAAAATACAAATCCATGTGCTATTGGACATGTACTGGATCCTGGATCAAAGGAGTGCCGAAGGACCATCAGCATGAAAAGGGCCATCAACAAGAAACTAATTCTGCCTTTCTTTAACAGATATGAATTTTCTATCAAATTTGCAATTGACTCTCAGTTTGGAAAAACAGATGGGGATCAATCAAGGAAAATAATAATTAACACAGGCTCTAGAGTCGGCGTTAAGAAATTTCCCTGCAGAAATACTTTCCATGGACGTGCTGAACAGCACTAAAATGACTTATTCCGTAAATACAGTGGTTGCCTTCCCGCGACATTACCTAAGTCAAACAAATGGCTCACTTACTTGCAATTTAACGATAGGGCATATCACGGCTTCCTCTGTAGTCAAGGAGGAGTGGGTACCTTTGTTGTGTGTCACAAGTGACATTTGCAACCCAAATGAATACTTGGTTATCACAGATGCGGACTCCGCTATTTATATCAACAGTACTAAAGACCAAATTCCTAAGATAGACTACTGCTCAAACCAAACTGAGTCTAAAAACGGATCAGTTGTTCCAATAGGTGATGTCCACGTCTGTCGAAAAAGCCTCAGATTGTCATGTTCTGGTGTCTTAATTCAGCTCAAGGAAGAGGAATACGTCATTTTAGGAAACGGATCCCTGTACAGGAATGACTCAAAAGCGTTATACGGCATTTATGATTTCATGATGACAGACGGAATGGCTACAATCTGCATCATCCCTTCGTCTGCTAATAGCAACACTTACACGGCAATTCTGGTTTTAACCTACATTGGAATCGGTCTTTCCATTGTCTGCCTTACGCTTGTTCTTCTCACCTACTCCATTTTTAAAGAACTGCGTACCTTACCGGGCGTTAATTTAATGAATTTGTCCATCTCTTTGCTTTTCGCCCATTCCCTTTTCATGACGGCGGGTGCGACTCAACTGCACCAGATTTGTTCATCAATTGCCGTTCTAACCCACTATTTCTACCTTGTGTATTTTACTTGGATATCAATCATCGCATTTGATACCTACTACACTTTTTCCACAACTTGTCGCACCCGTCAAAGAACAGCAAATCGGAAGCGTTGCTTCCTTGCGATTGGTTAGATTCCTGCCCTTTTGTTGGTTGCTATTTTTTACTCTCTTGACCAATCAGGTTTGGTTGCTATAGGATACGGTGGCGCGAATCACTGTTGGATCAACAATACCAAGTCTAACATTTTTGTTTTTGTTATCCTAGTGGCTTTTTCCATTTTTCTAAACGTGATCCTTTTCTCGTCGACAGTTATTTCCATTTACAAAATAAAAAAGCAAACACGGGTGATTGGAGACGCCGCAAACAATCGAAGAGAAGTTGTGTTATTTGTAAAGGTGGCAGTCTTGATGGGATTCACGTGGACTTCTGAATATCTACCGATTCTCGTTTCTAAATAGTTTGATTATCCATTTGTTATATTCAATTTACTTCAAGGAGTTTTTATTGCTTTTAGGTTTGTGTTCACAGCCAGAGTGAAGAAAATGTACGGCGCGTTGTTTGTAGCCAACAAAGTATTATCTTCAACAGCACAAACTCGCGATACTCAGATATAGCAAAGACACAAAAAGGCACGTCAATATCAGAAATCTAGCAGCGTACACTTGTGTTGCAATTAGCAGGCGAAGAGTGAACGTTATTTTCACTTGCTCTCAGACATGATTAAGTCTCTATTTGAGAATTTGTGCGTAACTGTCAATAAATTCCGCTTCCATACGCTGATCATTAAAATGCCGATGTTCTTTTAAACGTATTTTTATACCTTCCGCTTAGGTATCTGACATGAACCAGTGACTTACAATTCACATATAAAAGGTTAACACTTTCTTCGCTCGTTGGTATTGTAAGAACATTAGTTCCCTTCTGTCGGGCAAATGTGCCACTATGTATCGTAAGTACCAACTAGATCACCGGGAATTGTCGTGGAAAAGCAAACAAATAAGCTGTATTTTAACAGATACTGGGCCCAATGCGCTGGAGTTCCACGTGACGAGATTCTGTGTGGACCCATAAAACTCGAGAGTTCTCAAAAGCCGACCCAGCCTCCTTTCCTTCACCAGCATGACGTGCCTTTGAACATCTTGTTCAGCCCAGACACTCCAAAATACAAATCCATGTGCTATTGGACATGTACTGGATCCTGGATCAAAGGAGTGCCGAAGGACCATCAGCATGAAAAGGGCCATCAACAAGAAACTAATTCTGCCTTTCTTTAACAGATATGAATTTTCTATCAAATTTGCAATTGACTCTCAGTTTGGAAAAACAGATGGGGATCAATCAAGGAAAATAATAATTAACACAGGCTCTAGAGTCGGCGTTAAGAAATTTCCCTGCAGAAATACTTTCCATGGACGTGCTGAACAGCACTAAAATGACTTATTCCGTAAATACAGTGGTTGCCTTCCCGCGACATTACCTAAGTCAAACAAATGGCTCACTTACTTGCAATTTAACGATAGGGCATATCACGGCTTCCTCTGTAGTCAAGGAGGAGTGGGTACCTTTGTTGTGTGTCACAAGTGACATTTGCAACCCAAATGAATACTTGGTTATCACAGATGCGGACTCCGCTATTTATATCAACAGTACTAAAGACCAAATTCCTAAGATAGACTACTGCTCAAACCAAACTGAGTCTAAAAACGGATCAGTTGTTCCAATAGGTGATGTCCACGTCTGTCGAAAAAGCCTCAGATTGTCATGTTCTGGTGTCTTAATTCAGCTCAAGGAAGAGGAATACGTCATTTTAGGAAACGGATCCCTGTACAGGAATGACTCAAAAGCCTTATACGGCATTTATGACTTCATGATGACAGACGGAATGGCTACAATCTGCATCATCCCTTCGTCTGCTAATAGCAACACTTACACGGCAATTCTGGTTTGAACCTACATTGGAATCGGTCTTTCCATTGTCTGCCTTACGCTTGTCCTTCTCACCTACTCCATTTTTAAAGAACTGCGTACCTTACCGGGCGTTAATTTAATGAATTTGTCCATCTCTTTGCTTTTCGCGCATTCCCTTTTCATGACGGCGGGTGCGACTCAACGGCACCAGATTTGTTCATCAATTGCCGTTCTAACCCACTATTTCTACCTTGTGTATTTTACTTGGATTTCAATCATCGCATTTGATACCTACTACACTTTTTCCACAACCTGTCGCACCTGTTAAAGAACAGCAAATCGGAAGCGTTGCTTCCTTGCGATTGGTTGGATTCCTGCCCTTTTGTTTGTTGCTATTTCTTACTCTCTTGACCAATCAGGTTTGGTTGCTATAGGATACGGTGGCGCGAATCACTGTTGGATCAACAATACCAAGTCTAACATTTTTGTTTTTGTCATCCCGGTGGCTTTTTCCATTTTGCTAAATGCGTTCCTTTTCTCGTTGACAGTTATTACCATTAACAAAATAAAAAAGCAAACATGGGTGGTTGGAGACGCCGCAAACAATCGAAGGCACGTTGTGTTATTTGTAAAGCTGGCAGTCTTGATGGGGTTCACGTGGATTTTTGGATATCTATCGATTCTCGTTCCTAAATACTTTGATTATCCATTTGTTATATTAACTCACTTCAAGGAGTTTTTATTGCTTTGGGTTTGTGTTCACAGCCAGAGTGAAAAAAATGTACGGCGCGTTGTTTGTAGCCAACAAAGTATTATCATCGAAAGCACAAACTCGCAATACTCAGATATGGCAAAGACACAAACAGTCACGCCAATATTAGAGATCTAGCAGCGTATACTTGTGTTGCAATTAGCAGACGAAGAGTGAACGTTATTTTCGCTTGCTCTCAGTCATGACGTAATGTTCAATCGCTTTTCTTTTAACATGATCAAGCCTCTGAGAATTTGTGCGTAGCTGTGGACAAATTCCGCTTCCATACGCTGATCATTAAAATGCCGATGTTCTTTTAAACGTATTTCTATACCTTCTTAGGTATCTGACATGAACCAGTGACTTACAACTAACATATAAAAGGTTAACACTTTCTTCGTTTGTTGGTATTGTAGGAAGATTAGTTCCCCTCTGTCCGGCAAATGTGCCACTATGTATCGTAAGTACCTACTAGATAAAACGTTATATGTAGTTACAAGACATGTGCATAATGCCGACCTATTTTGGGCATGTTCTGCGCATCCTCTGTAAATAAGGGCGCTTTAATAAATTATGGAGGTCGTGGGAGGAGGTGCGGACAGCAGCAACCAATCGAGAGGAGTGGAAAAGCTCTGTGAAGGCCCTATGTGCCACGAGGCATGAAAAAGATTGATGATGAATGAATTATCTATTGTAATGACTTTTCATCAGCCACTTATTGTTGAATTACCGGCAATAGCTGGCTTTGATAAAAGAAAGTTGGAGGCACTTCAGAGGAAATAAACTTGCTTTATCATTTCACTTCAAAAGCGACAAAAACATAGGCAATTTTTTGGTCAGAAGTTCATTGCAAACTAATGATCAACCCGGCACTTTTAAACGCGCTCGCGCACGATGCACAACTTGTCCTTTCAATCACAACGCTGAAAAAATATCGGGACCCAAACGATCTATTAAGATCCCTGGTCACTTCGCGTGCACCTCAGCCAACGTCATCTATTGCCTAACTTGCAATTATTGCAAAAAGCTATACATAGGCGAAACAGGAAGACGACTAGGTGACCGATTCCGAGAACACCTTCGCGACGTAGAAAGGAATGACAAGGACGCATCAAAACCAGTCGCTAGACACTTTAATCTACCTAATCATTCTAAGTAACATATGGCAATCTGCGGTCTTTCCTTTCATTTAGTTGGCTCGGAAAGCCGCAAAACTTTTGAACAAAAGTTTATCTTCCAAATCGGCACTCTTGGGATCCCACAGGTATCAACGAATGCTTTTCATTTTAGTAATTTGTTCGTGTTTTTCTCGTCGCCATGCCCCCACCAATAGCGTAGCTTCATTTTCTACATAGAGCACTTTCATAAATGGCTGTCGGATTAATATTCTTTTGTTTAAATTTAAATTAGCCCTTCTGGCCTCGTTCTCCAGTACAAAATTCAAAAGAATACATTATCTCAAGCGAGGCCAGAAGGGCTTATTTAAATTTAAACAAAAGAATGTTAATCCGGCAGCTATTTATGAAAGTGGTCTATAGAAACCCACACACAACCCACAATTCCTCCATTCGCTCTGACTAAGGGCGGTGGCCAAGTTACAATTTCAACTTAGTTGACACTACCAAATTGCTTGGTAAGAATTGGAAACCAAGGTTACCTCCAATCTATTCTTTGCTCAATAGCTTAACACTTGTACCTCATTACTGTTTCTCAGTACTATTTTAAAAGTTAAGATAAACTCTTGTGAAAAAAGGCTGAGGCGGATCCAGGGGTGGTTTGGGTGGTTCGGTCGAACCCCTAAATTGTCCCTCAAAATGCTGGAAATCCTTTTTCCGAAGAACTTATTTTCAAAATCTCCCGGGGAAGCATGCCCTCGGACAATTCTCCGAACCCCAGTTAAATAAATCCTAGATCCGCCCCAGAAAGTCCTTCTTAATTCCTTACCGAATGTAACTCTGGTTGTCATAATGAAAAATAATCTGGGCCAATATTTCACATTGGTCAAATAAAATAAAATTCACTTGACAAAGACTAGCAGAATAGCGGTCGAAACGTCGCGAAATTGATAGCCCGAACCTACACCGTGCGGCAAACGATAATGCGTTAATTTATCCACAAAACTCCACAATGGAGAGAAGATTGATTATTTATCAAATGCGCAGCCTAGGTAAATAATTTATCACAGAATTAAATAATTGTTTTATTGGTGGCTAAGTTTGTTTTCCCAGAAATATTTTCAGAAAAATCGCTCTGCACAAGGAACTGATCTACTCTTATTTTCAAAAAAGTGTATGCATGAGCAGAACATTATAAAACAGTTATTGGCTGGTCGCGCGGGGAACGCTCTTAAAACAAAATCGAAGGAAACTTCTCTGAGTGATGAACACTGTTCATGAACTACATGTCAGAGTAAAAAAGTTTTTAATATATTATCTTTTCAACAGATACATTTAATAA